CATGCATAATGGGGGAGTCACAGGGAGGGATGTGCAACACAGACAAGACAAGTAGTGATTCTACAGCATCTTACTATGCTGATGGACAGTGACTGTAATGGGGTTTGTGGGGGGGACTTGGTGAAGGGGGGAGTCTAGTAAACATAATGTTCCTCATGTAATTGTAGATTAATGATACCAAAAAAAAAAAAAGACCCCCTCAAACTTCAGTAGACTATCCCCTACATTGTTGTTCTAGCCACTGCTTCTGCCCTCAACGTTGCAGGCGTCACTCCGTGGGTCCATCATTCCAGAGTGAAAAGGGCCCAAGCAGAGAAAGAAGTACATCAATAGAAGACCCAGCTTGACCTTCAGAATCCTCTCTGCCTCCGCATCCAACTATTACCCTCTGACTAATGAACGCCTGCCTGCATGCCTGGGATCTTGGTCCTCGCCAGAATGGAATCTCCCATCCTGGGCATTAAACTCTCTGCTGCTGCCCCCTCTGACAAAACTGTTCCTCAAAAAGTTGCCCTTTCTATTGTCTATTAAGTAATAAGTTGTTTTGCTGTGCTTACCTGTCTCTCCTAGCTGAACTCAAATCTCAGTCTGCATTTCCAAAGTACGTCTCTATAATGTTACCTCTATCAAATTACCTGTACAAAGTTATAAAGTGCGTGGTCATCACCCAAGAGAGCTGCCCTCGGTGACCCTCCACCCTTAACACCTGTCCTCTCACACTCAAATTAGCCAGCCTGAGTGTAATGCTCAGCTGCATAAAAATAAATTAAGACTGAAGAAAACTGAGTATTTTTTGCTAAACACAGGCTTATCAAGAGTCTGAAGGACTCATTTCAACTTGTACACACAAGGCCCATACAGACAAATGCATAAAAACATGATCATTTGTGTTCTTTACAAAAGTACTCAAGACTTTAACAAAGTTGCAAAAAAAAAAAATCCTAGCTCAAAGCAATTAAAAGTATAAATACAAGCCATTATAACCCTATCATAAACCAAAAAGATGATGCCCCCTAAGACGAAGTGTTTAAAGGGGCATCAGCGGGGAGTGATAAGGAAAATATTCAACACAGCCGTCAAGGTCAGTAAACCACTTTTCCCTCTGGTTGGCAAAGTCAGCAGAGCACCCCAGCTCCCTCCTCCCCTCCTTCTCTGGGCTCCGCTTTTGCCCTGCGCATGCCAAAATGCCACATATCATAATAATGTAATTGCTCCCCTTGCGTGTGCTCAGATCTCAGATGTTGGGTGATTACTCCCCTCTGAGCCCACCGGTGTAAAATAAAACCTCAACACTCCCAAGACCTCCGAGTGCCACTTGGTTCCTCTGTCAGTGATCCAGTCCAGGTTTTCCAGTATTTTCCGTAACAGTACCAAGCCTTCACATGGGGGCCCTACCCCACTCAGTCAGTGTACACAGATTATTCGTGGGGTCTGCACTTTTCAGCCCCTCCCTCCTTGCCAAACTCGAAGATTCCCCTGCCCAAAAGCCAACCTCACCTCTCTCACTTTGTTGCTCATGTTGGGCAGTGCCCGCAGGCAATTTTCTCACTATTAATAAGTCAATTGTGAAAATTTAAAGCAAGTTTGGATTGACAGATTATTCCTGAGCAGGTCCTGGGAATGTAGATCAATGAACCATTCCCTGGGTAAAGCTCACATTTGCCAGTAAGGATGCAAACTTGTGTACAAAGCCCAGGGCTAGAACAGAAGCTGTTAACTATTTATGGAAGTGAAGGTTTCCCTGAGATGTCTGAGCTAGGTTTTGAAGCATGAAGAGACAGACATGCCAGAGGGCAAGAGAGAAGAAAGGGAAATTCCAGGTAAGTTAGGCAAACACCCAAAGATAATAAACAGTATCCTACATAAAATGCAAGGTGGAGGGGTCCTCAGAGATGAATCTGAAGGGGTCAGCAGGAACCAAAGGACACTAATAAATGGATTTTTATCTTTAGGAAGTAGGAAGGCAGTGAAGTTTATGCAGTGGAGATACATGGTTAATGTCATATTTTAGAAAGATTGCTCTGTCAAGAGTGTGGCATAGAGTCCAATTAGAAGCAGGAAGACCTCAAGAGCCCAGAAGTGATGGCACTCAGGACAGAGGCACCACCAGGAGTCAGATGTATTCATAAGATCAAATTAACAGGCCTTGGGCTAGACTGGATATGGGACATGATAATGAAAGCAATTTCAAATGAGTCTCAGGTTTCAGATGTGAAACACTAGATAGACAGTGGTGCTATTAATCATGACAGACTAAAGAAGAGCTGATCTTAGGGGAGTGTGCAAGGACAAGGTATCCAGAGAGAGTAAACTGAGGGACCAATGGGACCGCCAAACTGAGCTGCCTAGTGAGCAGATAAATCTCCCATCTGGTGCTCATGTGAGGCCTGGGCTGGTCATATCAACTAGGAGTCTTGAGCCCAGAGGCAGGGCTCAGTACCTGGGATGGAAGAGAGCAGCTAGAGAGGCACTGCTGTATAAGTACTGTTTAGGGGGTGCTGGAGGAAGCTGGTTGAGAAAAGGTCAGAGGGGAGAGCCAAGTGAGTCACAGTCCTACAGTGCTGAATTCTGTAAATAGTTCAAGTTCAGTAAAGATAAATGCACAGTCTATTTGGTATTTAAGAGACCTTCCCAAATGAAAGACCTCGCAGTTCAGAGACCACAGAGAAAACTGCGCTGGGTTAGAGAAAGAATGGGAGGAAGAAATGGAGACACAGTGCAGCTAGCTTTTTTGAGAACCTTGGTAGAGATGTGATGGGAAGAAATAGGAAATAGTTCAAGATCATGGAAGATTTCTCTCTGAAGAACTGAGAGATTGACCTGCAGAGGGAAAAGAACTCAGAAGAGATGTTGAAGGTCCAGCAATATAACATACAAGTAGTTAAGTCAATGCCACCCAGAGCCTGGAGGGGATGGGCCCCCATGCTGATAAGGTTCTGGCAGTGGGGGTGGGGGGATACAAGCTGGGTCAAGTTTACAGAAAAAAGAGATCAGTAACTGAAGTAGGAGGCTAACTCAGGAGGCAGAGCCTAGGTGGATTGAATTTTAAAAGAATGGAGTAGCCTCTGAGGCAGCCAGAAGACAACAGAAAGGACTGACAAACTGAAGGCTCCCCAGTGAATGGACCACAGGTCTATGGCGGCATCACAGTGTTCAGTGATTTTCTTCAGCAGAGCTGCCCACGTGGGACAGTACTGGTGGTGACTAGAGTTGTAGCTTGATAAGACAGAGCAGTACAAGCAGTCTTCCAGGAGGTTCTACCAGATTATAAATGCACAGTGGAGAAAGCATAGGCTTTAGGGCAGCAGGCTGAAATGCAGATCCTCCTAAAGCACTCCACCCAACCTCTGAGCCTGGGTTGTCTCTTTTGAGAGGGGACCAATGTCACCCATCCCAAAGGGTCACTGTGAAAGAGTAGTCACTATGGAAGAGCCTAGAATTTCTCTGGGTCCACAGAAGGTGCTGAATTAAATGTTAATTTCTTCCTTCTAAGGAAAGTACTTATTCTTTTGTTTTCACTGCATAAATACTGAAGCGTATGTGGTATAATTCCATTCTTTTAAATATCCACATCTAAAATTATAAAAATAGATTCTTTGCTTTACATAAGTCTTCACTGCAGGATTCTTTTCAGTAGCAGCAGCCCCCACAACATTTAAAAGATGGTTCAACTGACAGAATGATTCAGGAACACATTTTAGGCCTAAGCACAGATGGCATGTTGTAGTTGTGACTCTGGAAAGAGGAATTTTACCAACGAATCACAGGCACTGAAGTCAGTCCCCAAATTCCTTCAAGCTGAGGCACGGTTTACCCACTAGTCTGGCTGTTTCAGAAACAGACTGGAGCCAGGCTGCCTGGGTTTGAATTCTGGCTCTGCCATTTACTAGCTGGGTGACACTGGTTAAGTTATTGATATCTCTGGTCTGTTTCCTCATCTACAAAATAATAATAATAATAGTACTTATACTTCATAGGATTTTTTTGAGAATTAAGAGCATTAATCCATTCTAAGATTTCAGAATGGTGCCTGGCACCTGTACCATAGAGGTTCAGGCCCCAGTGACTATGGTTATTCCCAGCCACACACACACCCCTGTCTTTGCTGGCCCTGAAGACTGTTTAAGTGGTGGTGGGGAAGACTTCAGTATAATCACCATCACATCACATACACTGACACCTCCTTAGAGCATACACCAAGGCTGGGGTGGTGGTCTGCACCCCAGAGCCCAGAGCAGTAACCAAAACCCTGAAGAGCTGCAGGATCAACACTCATGAAGGAGAAAGGAGATGAAGGAGCCAACTGGATTCAGGACCCTGCCCCATCATGTGCAGCTCTCTGTGACTGCAAAACTGTATGAGAAATTTCTAGTCCTGTCATACCAGCTTTTGGGAGGGAATGCATCTTGCTGCCCCAGCATACCCATGGCGGCAGTGGTAGCCCACCAGCTCCAAGAAGGATGTTGTTGTGGTGGAAGGTGCAGTTCGAAAGGCTGAAGTCACACTTTTTACTTCCCAGCTCTGGTCCAGGACTCACCTGAAAAGCTGAAACCTTACCTGCAAGGAGCTCCAGGCTGCTCTGCTCATGTGCATCCTCTGTGCTCTGCTCTGCATCATTTTTCTCTGGGATCAGCTGCTTACCAAATTAGAAGTCCCAAGTAAGTTTTGCGAAAGCATGAACAAGCCCAGTGAGACAAGTGTGCTTGGTGGCTTTGTTACCCTCAGGGGACTGCCCTCCCTCATGTGGAACTTCCCCTTACTTCCTCCTGGCTCATGTGAGTCCCTCTCCCTGGCCCCCAACCTTCAAGGCTTCATTCCTGCGGGAGCCTTTGTAGCTCATTGCAGCTATTCCAGTTTGTTCCTGCTCTGAACTCCGGTTGCTCATCTATCTGCCCCACTCCTGGTACTCTGCAGTATGTACTGCCTGCCCCGTTCATCATTTTTATGGTTTGTGTCCATTTTCTACAGCTGAAATTCCTCAAAAGGTAAGGTTCATCGTGCCCGTATCTCTTTACAGCTGGCTCAGCATGCCTCACACAGGGCTAAGTGCTCAACAAATGACTGAGGTCATATCTGGGGAGCCACAGGACATACTTTGTAGTTCTCTGTAGCCTTTCAAGGCCCTGCCACACTAGTTGGTTCAATTTGGACAGTGAACAAAAGTATTAAGATATGAACCCAATCCTCCTAGCACCTTGTTTTTCAAGAATACAAATATATAAAAATAGATAACCTTGTCATCACAATTAAAACCTTTTGTGCTTCAAGGGACCCTATAAAAGAAAGTGTAATGTCAACCGACAAGAATGGTAGAAAGTATTTTCAAATAGTATCTGATAAAGGAATTGTATCCAGAATAAAGAACTCATAGCTAAAAAATAAAATAACCCAATTAAAAAATGGGTTTGACAACGGATTTGAATAGGCACTTCTCCAAAGAGATACAAATGGCTAATAGGCACATGAGAAGATGCTCAACATCATTAGGGAAATGCAAATCACAACCACTCTGAGAAACCACTTTACACCCACTAGGGTGGCAATAATAATACTAATGGACAGTAACAACTTATTGGTGGGGATGTGGAAAAACTGGAATTGTTATACAGTGCTGGTGAGAAAGTAAAATGGTACAGCCGGTTTGGAAAACAGTTTGGAAGTTCCTCAAAAAGTTAAACATGGAGTTATCATATGACCAAGCAATTGTACTCCTATATACCTAAGAGAATTTAGACACGTCCACATACAAATTTTCATAGCATTATTTGTAATAGCCGAAAAGTGTAAATAAAATAAATATCCATCAATAGATGAAATGATAAAAAAAATCTGATGTGTCCATACAATGCGACGTTATTCAACCACAAAAAAGAATGAAGTACTATTACACGTGGCAACCTGGATGAACCTTGAAAGCATTCTGAGTGAGGGAAGCCAGACACAAATGGCCACTTTCATTGTCTGATACCATTTACATTAAATACCCAATACAGACAAGCCCACAGAGACAGAAAGTAGCTTAGTGGTTGCCAGGAGCTGGAGATGAGGGAATTGGGACTTACTGCAAATGGATACAGGGTTTTGGACTAGCAGGATGCAGATATTCTGCAATTTAGTGGTGACAGCTGCATAACACAGTGAATATACTTCTGAAGAACCACTAAATTGTACAATTTAAATACATTTCATGCTGTATGAATTACACCATATCCTAGCATATGTTTTCTACTAAAGCAAGTTTCAATTTCTAAGTAAGTACAATCCAGGGAATGTAGAAGAGATAAAAATGACCTTAATAGTGTGAAAGAAGAAACAGTATTTGGAAATTTTCCAAACATTTCTTCTTTTCTTGAGAGAAAGCTTATTCTTTTATTTCACTCTAGCCTGGAGAATCTCATAATATACAAACCTTTATCCTATTTTGAAACTGGTTTCACCAAGGAAATACCTACATTTGGATATAAGGCTCTGAGCCCTTGGGGAGCCTTGTACACCCTTCATTTGCCATCAGTTCCCCCAGATGAGACAGTCCTATCCTCAGCATACACCTGGAATTTCACTCTATGAGATGTTTAATTCTGGTCCACCCCTCTGGGAAATAATACCTTTCCCTAGAAAGCTGCCTCCCTGCTACTGCTGCGTATTCTGGGTTTAAGTTTTCAGTCCCTACACACATCTACGACATTAAGCCCTAAAGTACTAACCTGTCTATTCATTCCTTCATGGCCCACTGTCTTCTATTCCAACACAAAGCTTAAAATCTCCATTCCTGGCACAACTTTTCCCTAAATATATTCCATAAAAATATAAGAACATATTCTCTCATTTCTTCCATTTCCCCATAAACTATATAAGAGCCACAGATGACTTATTCTACTGTCCTACTTTAACTTGTTTAGAAATGGAAACTGAGATAAAATCCAGAGGTAAAAGAATCTGACCTATCATCAATAAGCTTGTAGTTTTAGCTGATGCCACTGGGTGCCACTCTTGTACCACCAACAAGTTATTTATCATTAAAGGGACATTATCTGAGGGAATCTAATAATCTTCGGGAAGAAGCCTGGCTTCTACTGGACCCCTCTAACCACACATCTCCCCAGGCTTATGATCCAGTCCCATATGGTGACAACATCACTATGCTTCAGAGCCAGGCAACCTCAACACAAATCTCCAAGCTTTGCCATTTACTGACTGTGATTCTGGGCAAATTAGAAAATTCTCTAACCAGCTGCTTCATCTATAAAATGGGAAGACTACAACCTGCTTCATAAAATCTTTGTGGAGATTAATGAGGAAATCTTGGCACAGATTAGGAATTCCATAAATGTTCTTTCCAGACCTATGACCTTCAAGACTTAGCCATCTGCCAAGTTAACTGGACTATTAATGGCCCTAAGGCTATGAGCCATCACTATAGCAACAGAAGGGGCAAAAGAGGTCAGATCATTTCCTTTGGGATCTCAACAGGATAGGAGAGGCCCAAGCAAAAGGACTTCACAGGCTGAAACACTCCTACATCATGCCCATATACCCTAGGTCCTATGATGACAGCATATGCCTCACCCTGAACCTATCCCTGGAAATATGAAGATGTGGATGGGTGTATTGAATTGGACAGTAGCCGCCCAAAAACTATGTCCATGCATTAATCCCCAGAATCTGTTCTACTGGACCCCAAAACCTTATTTGGAAAAAGGGTCTTTGCAGATGTAATTAAGGATCTCAAGATCACTGTGGATTTAGAGTGGGCCCTGAATATAATGACAGGTATCCTTGTAAGAGACAGGTAGAGGGAGATTGGAGAGACAAGGGGGAAAGGCCATGTGAAGATGGAGGCAGAGACTGGAGTAATGTGGCCACAATGAACATCTGGAGCCATGAAAAGCTATAAGGGATAAGGAAGGATTCTCCCCTAGAGCCTTTGGAGGGAATGTGGCTCTGACAAAACCTTGATTTCAGACTTCTTGACTCCAGAACTGTGAAATAATAAATATCTATTGTTTTTAAGGCACCGAGTTTGTGGTGATTTGTTATAGCATCCATAGGAAACTTATACAATGGGTATTAGCTTCTATTTGTTCACGTTGTTTTTGCTATTTGTCGCCTTCTGCCTTCCTAGCTACAAAGCAGGGGAGGATGGGCAAATCCATGAGCTGCTGTGATCCTTGGGTGCCTGGACACCTAAACTTCCCTGTCTAATTAGGCAAAAAAAGAGGAAAGGGAGAGAAGAAGCAGAAGAGGTGTTAGAGACTGTTATTCTCTCAGAAAGTATCTATTTTTTTATTACTATTTTATTGAGCTTTAATTTGTGCACATATACTATACTGCAGATAGAGTGTACAATTTCCAAAGTTTTGACACATACATATTTGTGAAACCATCAAAAGGTAAATAATGAATATATTCCTCAAAAGTCTCCTCTGACCTTCATAGTCACTCCATCTTCAAGCAACCACTAATGTGTAATTATAGATTAGTTGGCATTTTTAGAATTTTATGTAAGTGGAATTAAACAATATGTATCCTTCTTTTTGGTTTTTTTTTCATTCAGCATGGCTATTCAGAGATTTACCATGCTTTTGTGTATATCAATAGCACATTCTTTTTATTGCTAAGTAGTATTCCATTGAAAGCTATACCATTTCTTTATCCATTTACCTGTTGACACTGGGTTGTTTCCAGGTTTTGGCTATCACAGATGTGTGGCAGAGATGCCACAACATTAGTGTATAAATTTTTGTGTGGACACATGCTTTCATTTCTCTTGAGTAAATACCTAGGAATAGAATGGCCAGGTCCTATGATAAATATATATTTAACATTTTAAGAAACCGTCAAACTGTTCTCCAAGTGCTTGTACCATTTCTCATTCCTACAAATAGGGCATAAAAGTTTCAGTTTCTCCGTGTCCTTGTAATGAGGTATGACGTGGTATCTCATTGTGGTTTTGATTTGCATTTCCCTAATGATTAATGACATTGAGCATATTTCTTGTATGTTTACTTGCTGTTTGTGTATCTTCTTTGGTGAAATGTATGTTCAAATCTTTTGCCCACTTGAAAAATTGGGTTGTTTTGTTGAGTTTTGAGAGTTTTTCAAATCTTTTCAATATTCAATTTCTTTAATAGTTTTTTGGTATCATTAATCTACAATTACATGAAGAACATTATGTTTGCCAGACTCCCCCCCTTCACCAAGTCCCCCCCACATACCCCATTAGTCACTGTCCATCAGCATAGTAAGATGCTGTAAAATCATTACTTGTCTTCTCTGTGTTGTACAGCCCTCCCTGTGCCCCCCCCCACATTATACATGCTAATCATAAGGCCCCCTTTCTTCTTCCCTCCCCTTCCCCTCCCTTCCCACCCATCCTTCCCAGTCCCTTTCCCTTTGGTAACTGTTAGTCCTTTCTTAGGTTCTGTGATTCCGCTGCTGTTTTGTTCCTTCC